GAATCCTGCCAGGGGAGTTTTGCACCCACAGGCAGCGACACTAACACACCAAACAAGCTGACTGCCCTTTTGCAGACAGAAGGGGAAGTATCTTGGCTAAACCCCAACTGCTTTAGAATCACTGAAGCTGGAAAACACCTTTAAGATCATGGAGCCCATGTCATATCCAATTTGAGTTTTTACTGCAATCTAAGGAGAGACAAAAATTTAAAATATGTTTGCTCAACACACAAAGGGCTAAATTGTAATGGTTCGGTAAGAAACATTAATACAAACTTAATCAGTTTGAGGGAATCTAACTCTGGAATGTGACACGTACATATTTGGCATTTTCTGTGACACCTCAGTGCATTTTCTGAGGCTGCTCATCCCATGTGCAATAAGAAAGGGCCAGAAAAACAAACCTAGCCAGTAAGAACCCTGAAGATGTGACATTTCCATAAATCCCACTGTGAGAACAGTGTTCAATGAGCACAGTGATGACCTGCATGCAAATACACCCCACACGCCTCCTGAGCAGGACTTGTGTGCTGAGCCCCGTGAACTTCCCAGTTCAGTTATGAAAGCACAACAGTGAAAGTTGAACCACTCGCTCATATTCCACAACAAAAGAAATCCCCAGGCCACCCCCACTGAAAGGGCCAATTGAATTTTCAATGAGCTTGGCTTCTCCAAGCCAAGGAAAATGACACGTTAGTCAGCAGCAGGGTTGTTTGGTTTTTTTTTTCCCTCAAGTACACGCTGGCAGCATAAAAATCAGAGTGTGCTGTACCAGGCATTCCAAGAGGCAAGCTCAGGGTGCTACTGAACACCACACTCATTTCATTTCCCTTGAAACTGTAGTTTTTGCATGTGAATGATCACAAAAGACCAAATATTTTCAGCAGAGACAGAAAGCTAAAAAACAATAAGTAAATTTGAAACAGCAGATTGTAAACGAGCGATCTCTCGGGATTTTCATTGTTCACAGGACATCTCCAGCTCTTTTTGGGGACGTTTCCGGAGAACAGAGAGCGCTGCAGCTGTCCCAGCAGCACCTAACCCGAGCCTCGGTTCGCTCCCGGGCTGCAGAGGATGCGGGGACACCTTGGGCGGGCGAGACTGCCAGTGCCCCGGGCTGAGCCGCCCCCTGCCCTTACCTTGCCGTCCTCGCACCTCTTCACCTGGCCGTCCCTGGCCTGCAGCTGGCTGCTCAGCTGGCTGTAGTCCGCCTCCTTCTGCTCCAGCTGCTTCCTGTGCGAGTCCACCTTGCCCAGCAGGTCGGAGTTGCGGCGCTCCAGGCGGCCCCGCGCCACCTCGGTGCGCTGGGCCTGGCTCTGCAGCTCGGCCAGCTCCTCCCGCAGCAGGGCCTGCCGCGACGCCGCGTTCCAGCAGTGCAGGCCCAGCACGGCGATCACGGCCAGCAGCGCCACGAGCACCAGCGAGGGCAGGCGGCCGCCACGCCGGTTCGCCCCGAACCCCACCATGGGGCAGGCCGGGGGCGGCGGCTCCGGGCGCGGCGGGGACGGCGCTCAGCGAGCCCTGAGGGTGCGGGGGGTGTGAGGGGAAAGGGAATCCTGAGCGGGGGAGAGGGAATGAGCGGGGGGGACTGGGGGGTCCGCGGGGATGGGGTGGGAGGGTGAAAGTGGGGGGGGTGAGAGAAGGGACGAGGCGCTGAGGGGGAGCGGGGAGAGAACGGCGGGAGGGCAGAGCCCGAGGGGAGCGGGCGGTGCCGGCAGGGCTGTGCCGGTGCCGGTGCCGGTGGCCGGCAGGGCTGTGGCGGTGCCGGTGCCGGTGCCGGTGGCGGTGCCGATGGCGGTGGCCAGCAGGACTGTGCCGGTGCCGGTGGCGGTGCCGGTGGCGGTGCCGGTGCCAGCCGAGCCGTGCGGGACCGACCGGCCGAGCCGCCACCGCGGCGCCCCGCCCGCCGCCCGCCCCTCGCGGCTCTCGCGAGACGAGCCCGCGGAGCGCTCGCGAGAGCCGCGTCCCGCCTGCCCTGAGGCGGCTGTGCCCTGAGGGGGAGCGGCTGGGCGGGCGGTACGGCGGTGTCAGGCTAAAGGACATTAAAAACCTCCGTGCCGTGTGCGGGGAGACGCTTCACAGTCACAGCCCCGGTGTCTAGGCTGGCCTTGGGCACTGCCAGCGATCCACGGGCAGCCACAGCTGCTCTGGGCATCTGTGCCAGGGCCTGCCCGCCCTCACAGGGAACAGCTCCTGCCCAATAACCCGTCCGGCCCTGCAGTGGGAAGCGTTTCTGGCTTGTCAGGGTTCATTGTGAGGGGAGAGAGAAATCCCAGCAAAGTCAGGGTTTGGTGTGAGGGGACAGAGATCCCAGCAAAGTCAGGGCTTGGTGTGAGGGGAGAGAGAAATCCCAGCAAAGTCAGGGCTTGGTGTGACAGGAGAGAGGAATCCCAGCAAAGTCAGGGCTTGGTGTGAGGGGAGAGAGAAATCCCAGCAAAGTCAGGGTTTGGTGTGAGGGGACAGAGATCCCAGCAAAGTCAGGGTTCATTGTGAGGGGAGAGAGAAATCCCAGCAAAGTCAGGGCTTGGTGTGAGAGGAGAGAGGAATCCCAGCAAAGTCAGGGTTCATTGTGAGGGGAGAGAGAAATCCCAGCAAAGTCAGGGTTCATTGTGAGGGGCAGAGATCCCAGCAAAGTCAGGGTTCATTGTGAGGGGAGAGAGAAATCCCAGCAAAGTCAGGGCTTGGTGTGAGAAGAGAGAGAAATCCCAGCAAAGTCAGGGCTTGGTGTGAGAAGAGAGAGAAATCCCAGCAAAGTCAGGGTTCGGTGTGAGGGGAGAGAAATCCCAGCAAAGTCAGGGTTCATTGTGAGGGGACAGAGATCCCAGCAAAGTCAGGTGTGCAGGTGTTCACCCACACAGAGACTTTGGGCTTGGCTTTACTCCCTGTGCTGGGATTTAGTAAGAGTTCTGCTGTGACCAAGCACCTCAAGGCAGCAGAGGGTCACAGTGTGCTTCTGGGCACAATCCCAGTACCTCCAGCTGCAAATGGTGTGGGGAGGATGTGGGAGAAACAGAACGGGATCAGTTTTCCTCCTAAAAGAAGCAGAAAGAACAATATTTAAGAAAAAAGGTATAAAATACCTTCCTGAGATATAGCATACATTGTTAAGATTTGTCAGCTGTGACAATGGTGTCACAGCTTTCTCCTTCCCACCTGATTCCATACTTTACATACCAATATTTGCACTTTGGCAATTTAATTGCTGCTACGCTGATGGCCCATTAATTTGTCAGCCTACTCTCTGCAGATGGCAGTGCAGATTCACATTCCAAATCCAGCGTTGCACATTTTCCCTCCTTGTGAGAATGGATGGTTCCAGGGTTTGAGTCTGCCCTGCTCAGCTTGTTCCTTCTGGCTGCACTTACTCTGTGCCAGCCTGACCGCTGCAAGCCAGGAAATGTTTGTCTAAATAATGAAAATACAATAGAAATCTGACAGATTTGAGCTCAGAACTATACCTGGGTTCATTTTTTTGAATCTAGACCTAGGTTTCACACACTATGGTTTTGTACTAACCTGTAAGAGTCAGCTCAACAGTGCTCAGTAGTTCTGGCCCCTCTCCTGTTTCAGCTCTTCCTGTTGGAATTTGTTTGATTTCCCCACTCCTCAGAGTTCAGGGTTAGAACTTGCCCTTGCACTTTTTTTATTTTTTTTGTGTGTGATTTCCTTTGCGTATCTGGGAACTGAGGCAATACCAGAGAGTTTTATTTTTCCAGTAAATTTGCCATTTAATTTCATCTGTGTTGCACGCCCTGTGATCCTGTCCTAGTCTGTTCTGTTCCTGGTTGAGAAGGTGCTCCTGCTGCATCTCCCTGGCTGTAACCTTACGCTGTGTGTTGGGATGATGTATCCCATGGCACGTTCAGCTCAGCCTCTGGCAAGGTCTTGGCTGATCCTCGGCTTCTCTGCCCACGATCTGCTGTGAATGGGGAGGTCACTCACTCCCTGGGGCACTCACGGTGTTCCATCCTGAGACAGGGCAAGCACAAACCAGATACAACACCAGATCTTTCCATGGGTCTTCTCCATTTGCCTGCCACTAACCAGATTAATATACACAAAGCTAATTTAACAAAATAGTAATAAACCAGCAACCTCTTATATCCACCAATGTGATCAAGAAGAAGTAACCCAGCCAGCATTTATGGACTTTTTTTCTATGTCACAAAGAAAAAAACTGATGTAATTGAATGACTTTTCTGTTAGAATTACCAGGATGTCATAAAAATGTGCAGAAGTTTGATAATATAAAATTACAGTGGTTCTGGGAGGTGTTAACATTTTCCAAGGAAGAATCCTCAGGACTGGTGGTGCTGCAGAGGAGTGTAAGCAACAGCATGAGAGCTTTTATCAGCAGAGAAAACATGCAAAAGAACATAAAAAACTGCTGCTTCAACCCTTGTAGTGTTACAGCCCAGGACAGGGCATCTTCCTGCCTTGGTTTTGCTGATGAAGTCCATCATATATACATTTGATTTCCTTCTTCCATTCAGACATTCCACTTTGCAAAGGAATTGCTGATTATTTGCTTCATTTTTTTTTCTCTTTTCCTGCTGTGAGATTAGAAAGCTTAGGAGCCCCACATGTGGTGTTTTTAGAACCAGTGCTGTATTGTTACTGCCATGGCACTTCTATCAGTTAAAGCAATAAAAACTCTGAGGTGTTGTTCCAGCCAAGTATGTAGATCCTTCAGAATCCAGAGCAGGTTTTTAAATGAAAGATAAATTTAGCCATATTTATTTTTCATGCATAATTTAACTCAAAGATAAGAAGACAGTCTGATTTAATAATCTATTCAGCATTACAGAAAATTGGTGATTTTAAAAGCCACTGATTAAAGATTCTAAGATTCTGTTTCCTTGCACTGTAGCAGAATAAACTTTTTTTTAAATCCATTACAAATTTGTGGTTTTTTACAAACATTCTGAACACAGAACTCAAATTATCCCAGACTTTTAGCATATCCTTAAAAGCTGATTAACATACTCCATCTGTTGGTATGCCAAGCAACTGTCCAAATGAGCAGCATTTCCATGGAGATTTGTAAAACTCCAGTTAAAGTGGGAAAACAGCTCTAGCAGGGGGATGGATTGGAGGGTTTTATTGGAATGTGTTGTTGCACTGGTGGGTGAGGTTGGTGCCTAAAGTGCTGTTGTCCTGCAGGGTGTCCAGGACCTCCTTACCCAGGGCTGTGTCTGTGAGCACTCGGGGTGCTCACTTGCAGGAAGAATGGTAAAAATAATTCCTTTTCATTTCAGCACATTTGGTGAGTACTCACAAGTGGCCCTCAGTGCTCTGAGGACATTTCCCTCCCATCTCTGGTAAAATGTAACGTGGGCTGCAGCAGCCAGGTAAGGCACATTGACTTTCAGGAGAACGTTTGCTGTATCTCTGCCATGTTTGCCATCCCTGAAGATGGCACTTGAGCAGCTGGAGAAGGGCTTGAATGGAATCAGAGCTGGGCTTTGAGATGAAATGGGGTTGTGTTTATTTGTGGGCACCTGAGGTTTGCAAATCTTTGTGAGAGTAAGTGCTTTGGAGTGAGGTATCAGAATCAATCTCTTGGAAGATGTTGCGTTATGAAAACAAACCCAGGCACATCTGGGACTGGCTCACCAAATGGCAGCCCGAAGAGCAGACCTGAATCCAGGGAATTGGGATTGCCTTGAAGCTGCATCCCAGGCCGGGGGCAGGCAGCACATCTGTTCCTGGGAAGCAGCTGGGGAGGCTCAGTGCAGGCTGGCATTTTGGAAAAAAAGGTGCTTTCTCTCAGTAGTATTGCACGGAAGAAGGTTTGTTTTCATTTTTAGTAGCAGCTCCGAGGAGCTGGTGGAATTCCTGTAACAGCAAATGACATTTCCAGCAAGGATAAAGCCACAGCTGCTGGCAGGAGCTCCCACAGGTTATTGTGGATAATCACTGAAAAGGCAAAGCATTGATTTTGGAGTGATTCTTGCAGGAAAGCATCTGTGAGGGAATGAAGAGTGAAAGGTGCTCTGGGAATGGATTTGTCTGAGATTCAGAGAGGAGCTGACAGCTCACGGAGCTCCTGGGGATGCAGACCAGGCTGGGAATGCCGAGCGGGCGTGGGGGGATGAAAATGCCCCTGTTCCCTCCAGCAGGAGTGGCTGCAGGAAGGGGAAGGCATGGCTGAGGATTGCCCTGTGGAGTGATGAGCTGCAGGGCAGCAGAGCTGCAGCCAGCTCCTCGGAGCAGCTGCTGAACAAGGTGGCCTGGGGAACAAGAAGTGGGGCAAAAAGAAAAATATCCCTGGAGACGAGGTAGCCATGGCCCTGGAGTGGGGCAGGAAGCTTGTGGTGATTCCCTGCTCCTAGAAGGAAAGGTTATGTGTGCTGGGAAGGAGCTCAGCCAGAGTGCAGAAAAGTGTCTTTACACAGGGAGTTGAGGTTCTGTTGTCTCATGTTGTGGTTTCACAAAACATCCACCTCAATTACTGTTTCTTTGTTGCTGGGGAGCACAAGCAGAGGATGAAAATAATAATTTAAATTTAACTCTGCTAAATATACATGAGATTTCCTGGGACAAAGAAAAGACTTCTGTAGCTTGAGGGGGTGTTGCTGTGCCAGATTTCAGAGGCTCTACTACAGCCAATAACATTCTTGGAACAGCTTAGTTGGAAGCATTTTTATAACATTTTTTTAGGCAACACAAATACAGCCATTGCCTCCAGGAGTGTATGGGATTGCTTTGGAAGTCACACCAAGTATATCTGTGTGGTGCTGATTGTTACTGGATTGATTTGGGGGAATTAGAGGGAGTCCAGGATGATACAATTTGCAGATCATGCCCTTGAAATGTAAAGAAAATGTTTAAAAATGTATGTCTGGCCTCATTTTCCTCGGATGATTATGGCCACAGTATACACATTCAGATACTCTGTGTTTTCACTCTCCCCAGGACAATGAAGCCCTTCCTCAACTCTTGTTGCTGAAACTGCCTTGTGATAAAGACTCCAGCTGCCACATGATGCCAGTTACAGCAGATCTAAGTTAACTACATTTCATGGGTCAGACTGGTAGTAGGCAATTCTCCAATAAACATGCCTTATTTTAAAAATTTCTGTCTGGTGCATGGTATTATTCTGATAGACTTTCTGATAAATGGGAATTGGTTGCACAAAACATCTTTTTAAAAACCTTAATTTGATAATGTGAGTGCTGCTAAAATAATTTATTTCCTAACTGGTAGGGATGGTGGCAGTTTTATGTTGCTGCCTATTCTAATTTTGATAACAGCTTGAGGCCAAGATTTTAAGGCATTTAAGCATTGCCAGCTCCATGAGGGAATTTTCTGCTCCATCCACCAAAAACCCCAACAGTTTTGCCATAATGTGTAAGGGTTTATGTGCAGTGTCACAGGACAAAATCTCACCTTGTCCTGGTTGTGCTCTGGATTCACAGCTGGGAACTGATGTTTTTAATAATTAAATACCCCCAAACTCACATTAAAGTAACAAGCCAAAGCTCATCATGCTGAGGGACTCTGCTCCTCGGGGCTGAGATGTTTCCACAAGGAGGGGGTGGATATTTGTGGGGTCGGAGCTCAGGCCAGTGGGACTGGCTGGGAAATGCACTTCACCCAGTCAGCCTTTCCTCCTGGGAGAGGTGCTCCTTGCTGGGTCCTCGGGGACTGCAGGAAACAAGAATATTCTGAATTTTACAGCCTAAACCTCTTGTCAGGCTGGAGCGAGGTTTGCCTGGCCCCCTCCCCAGATTCCTGTCCCCAGGGCCCCGTGCTGTACCCAGGGCAGTTTGACAGGAGTTGGAAGGGGAGTTTTCACTGTGCTGCTTCCTGCAGAGATGATTTCGGAGCTGGATTCACTGAGCCTTGGGGTCCCTTCCACATCGGGATCTCCTGTGATTCCACGATCCGAGGCCGGGGTGCCCGTGCTGTGCCCTGTGCCCCGGCCGGGCATCCCAGCAGTAGATGGTGCCAGGCACCGCCGTGCCATGGTGAGGATGGCAGATCCAATTGCACAGGCACTGGAGCGAGGCAGAGCCATAAAACTCCTCTGCAAACAATGGTCATCAATTATGGCATAAGTACTGGGCTACGATAAAATCAGCAATTAAGGCCAAATGCTTATTAAGGATTGAGAGATTCAATGAGAGCTCACTGGGCCGTGAGCATCGGTGCTGGAGCCCAGCTGATTCTTACACACAAATGGCTGCTGCTGTTTGCTCCAGGAGACAATTGGGAATGGCAATTCTGTGGGAAGAGCTCTAAAAAGTTGAGTAATTTGTTGCAAGCAGGTGATGATGATTGCTGTATGTGAGTGCAGGAATCTGCTGTCTCAATAGCCCAGTTCCTTGTGCTGTTTGTGCCCGCTGGTCAGGTCACAGTTATGATTCCTGGCCTAGGTGGCTTTTGGTTTTTTCTCTTGTACGCTAAGAAAGCCACAAATTGAGCATCAGAGATAACTGGTGTGTGTGTTAAACCCTGACAGGAGCTTGGAGCATGCTTTTGTATTCCCAAGTATATTTTAAGAAGAAAAAAAAAGGAAAACAAATTATTATTGCAACACCTGGATTGAAAAGCATTTTTTACCATACGTGGGAATCTCCTGTGTCTTTTTATGCCTTCAGAGTAGAATCCCAGGATTTGATTAGTAAACTCCTGGTCACAATTTGGGCAGATTTCCTTTATTGCTCTAGAGGAATTGTCATTTCAGTGTAGGAAAAGCAGCAGATTGAACTGAGAACTAGGAGAGCTCTCTGTGTGCATTGTGCATTAGCACAGTTTCAATTATATATAGTGTGCATTTCTAATTCAATTTAGGTGTCAGTGAAACAGCAGCCATTGAACAGTGGATATTTACGGGCTCTCCAGCACAGAGCTGAACCCAGCCCCACTCCCATTATGTTCATCACATCAACAGTAATCATCTTCCCTGGGACTTCTCTGGGAACCTTCCAGAGAATGCTGAGAGCTCAGCAGCCTGTGCAGGGCACAGGGGGGATGAAAGGGGCTATCCTGAGCAGTGTCCCAGCCCAGTGCTGGCTGTGGGTCAGGGACATGGCTTACAGAAACCAGAACCTGGGTGTGCTGGATCCTCCCTCAGCAGGACACTGTACTTCACTTGGGGTGAATTCCCAAGTCCATTCCAGCTCTGTTAGCCAGGAATCACTGCAGTGAAACCTGGGGCTCCAACCTTAAAGGGAATGGAAGCAGACATTGTGTAGATGCTCCTGCAAAGGCAAAGAGAATATCGAGCCAGCTTAAGGAAAAGCTGACATAGGGCAGAAATGGGATATGTTCTCAAGAACAAATGGTTCCATTAAGTCCAGGGAAGCGCTTGTGTCCTTGAAAGTCAGAGATGGCCTTAAGTACTGTGTCCATCCAGGGCACTCAAAAACTGAGCAGTCCTTGATGTGCTAAATTAAGTTACAAATCATTTAAACAATGCTTCCAGAGAAAATGTGTATTTCCTCGTCCCCCTGACTGTGGTTCTTCCCTTTCTTGCCTTTGCTCCTTGTCCTCTGCTGCACACCCGCTACAGAATTTTTGTTGTTCCCTAAGTGCCAAATTGCTTCCCTCCCTTCACTCGAATTTTCTGTTGAGTCTAATTAAGGCCTCGGAGCCAAGACGTGCAGAACAAGGGGGTCAATTGTCCTCCCACTTCCGTGGTGCGAGCCCAGAGTAACTCTGTGGAATGCTGCAGTGAATTTCCACGAGCCTGGGCAGAGCTGCTCCTCTGGGCAGCTCAGGGGGAGCTGACTCAAACCTCCAGAGCTTCAGAGGGCACCAGAGACAGTCCATCACCACGGGGAGCTGCTGCCCTGCATGGGAATGAGGAAGGAGGTAGCTGGGAGGCAGCCAGGCTGCCTCATCCCGGGTGTCCTTGGCACTTCTGCTGTCCTGTGGGGCTCTGGGAGAGGAAGAGCAGGCTGGGTGGGCATAGGAACATCCTCGTGGCCGTGGCTGCTTGCCCTCTCGGGACATCACAGTGCCACGGAGTCCCAGCATCACTGATGTTGGAAAAGGCCTCCAAGACCACTGAGTCCACCCTGTGACCAGCCCCAGCCTTGCCAAGCAGACACAGTGATGGAGCTTTTCACAGTAACTGGTTTCCTTTCCTTTCCTGCCTTCTAGATGCTTTTCCCACAGGATAGCGGTTGGCATCATGGGCATTCCTGCGGGAGCAGAGAGAGCAGGAAGGGCAGTGATTGTCAGGGACGCTCCAGAAATGGGCCTAATTTAATGGGATGGCTGCAACCCAGGCTGGAGGTTGAGTAGGGAAGTGATGCAAGTCAGAGAAGAGAGGAGAGGTCACGTAAATAACATCATGCAGTGTGTTTGCTGTGAGCAAGCAGAATGTGAGTCGGGCAGAAATCTGTCTCTGTCAGGGACTCCTGCCGATCCATTTCTCCATGGATCAGCTGCATGTTGAGTTAATCTGCTTATGCAGCAGCTGAGCTGCCCTCAATGCCCTCATCTCATCCCTGCATCCAGACAGTGTCTCCAGATCCCAGGGGAGAGAAAATTCCATCTGCATCTCCTCCTCTTCAAGGCACTGGGTGGGACAGGACTGAGCAGGAGTGAAGTCCTCTCTGAGGACACATCTCATGGAAGGTGTCCCTGTCTATGGCAGGGGGTGAAATGAGATAGGCTTTAAGGTCCCTTCCCACCCAAACCATTCCATGATTCTGTGGGCTGTGGTGGAGGTCTGTGGGCTTAGAGCCTCAGAGCCACTTCAGATTGTTCATATCTCCATCATGGGTGCTCAGGGGAATCCCGTGTGTGTGTGTCCTCCAAAAGCTTGGGCTGGCCTCCATCAGTGGCTCCTTGTCCCCACCAGCAGTGGCAGTCGGGCTGCTCCAGGCAATCTGCTCTGGCCAGTGTCGTTGTGCAGCCACAGGAGCTCAAATGCCACAAAAAGGAAAAGAAGAAAACCTTTATTTTGTCCTATTTTAAACTCAGCCAAAGTGTGTAGGTTGGAAGATTCAGTTCATGTTTGTAAACATTAGCGGCAAATGTGTAACTTAATCTGTATCATATTTTATTCATTTCATTTAGAGTATCATTCATAGTACCTCATGCTGTATAACATTTATAGTCACATTGCAAAGGCCAACCAGAATTAATCCATGATGCTTCCCTCTGATTCATTTCTAGACAGAAACCCTGGAAGATGATTTACATTCAATAAAGGTGTTTTACCACTTTGGACCGTGTTCCTTATCACCTGGCCTGGCTGGTCAGCAGTCCCTTCCCTTTTGGATGCAGTGCTGCCTCCAGGTCTGGTGGGTTCCAGGGAGCTGGTCCGTGTCTGCACTGCTGTGATCTCCTGCAGCCAGCAGTGCGAGGTGGCTGCTGTGGGATGGCTCACCCAGGCTCCCCAGGATGGATCTCCCTGCTCCTGCAGGGCTCTGCAGCGCTGAGCTGCACGCTGGGCACGCTCCAGTTCCAGTTCCAGTGTGAATCACCTGCGTGGGCAGCACGGTGCAAAGCAGGGAAACCCCTGAGGGAACGCTGAACTTCCCTGGGGAAGAGTTTGGGATGGGGAAGGGATGGGCCTGGCTGAACACATCCATGTGCATCCTTGGCTTCCTTGTTTCAGCTGCATTTCCGAGGCCCCAGTCACATGCACCCCTTTATTTACTTTATTTAGCTTTGCTCTCTGGAGGACACCACAGCCAGTGCACTCTGGAAGTGCTTCTTCCTGAGTGCTTTCCTTTCCAGCTGCATTTTAACAGGACAGCAGGTCAGCCAGCAGGACCTCCTGCACTTTGAACTGTGTCCTAAGAGCACCATTTTTCCAAGCCCCCTCACCCTCACTGAGATTTCTCTCCCCACTTAGCACCACACACAGCGACAATCCCATCCTCATCACCTGGGCACCTTCAACAGAGTCTCAGTCTCAACAAGTTAATTAGATTAAAGTGTTTAAAAAAATCACTTTCACAGTGAGGCATGAGCAGAAAGCAAGATGCTTCTCCTCATCTAAGAGAGCAAGAGCCATGTATTATATCAGTTAATTGGTTCAGCTAAAGGTTGGATAATTCAGTTACTGCAGAGTGAGTGATTCCATAACAAACCCTTCAGTTCCCAGCAGC